CCATTGTGCCACAAGGGGATGGGAACTGTGTTTCAGCAGCTGCACTTCCTTCTGGATGTGTTTCTTCTCTGTCTCTGCCGTACAGGTGCCTGTGGAAAGCTCTTTCTAAATGCCACCGGGGTCATCAACATGATGGGTGTAGAGAGCAGAGACTGCACTGTGGCCATCGGCCGTCCTCTCGGGGAGGAGATCACCGTCAGCGTCCTGGAGAGCTCCCTCAACTGCAGCGCAGGTACTGCCCGGGGCGTGCTGGGGGCTAGGTGGCCCTTTGGGAACTCTGCACCTTGTTTGCCAAGTGCTTGTGGTGCCCTTTGCAATCTCTGAAACCATTTTACAAGTTTTTCTGTCCCACCAAGTCTTTGCCAGACAGGACGACATGAAGATGATGCCTTTCCTCCCCCTATGTCATGGTTTCGTAGCTGTTTTGTTGATAGATATTGGATGAAAGGAGTTTATGGGGTTAAAGGAGCTGCTTGCTTTGGCCTGTTTAAACTCTGTAACATACCCTCGTGCTGGAATCGGTACAGTTAGATTAGTTAACTGGACGGTTTTCATGACAGATGTTGATAAGATAGGGACAAGATGCAGAAATGTCTTGATTCCAGACCTATATGAGGTAGGTTGTGGCCTTTTAAAGTGTTCCTAGTCCCTGTGCTCTTCCATTCCAGGTGAGGCAGTGCTGTTTTCTGGGCGAATGATGTGGCGGACAGGCTGCAGGAAGCTCTCTTTGTCACTGATAAATTCCAGAACAAATACACTGATTGTGAAACAGCGCATTTTGCTGCCAGGAAACGGGGTCATTCTTCAGTACAACAGCGGAACTGCAACTAAAAAATACTACCAAGGTACCTCGCTGAAAGCTTTGCTGTTGTTTTAGATTCAGGCACTCATGACAAGACCCACAGAATTCCACAGGTCGTGGTTGCTTATGGAAAGCTTGCTTCATTTTTAGCATCTAACAAGCCCCTTCTTGAGGAGTGTTGGAATCATTAGTACTTGTGGACTACCCCCCTGTTTTAAAGGCAAGCCCCCTGCAGGTGTCTGCTGATGCTTAGAGGTTCCCAGATGAAAATCCTTAGAGAAGTTTTTCTGCCTGTGTCTAATTTAATTGATTTCTTTCTCGGAGATGCTGGACACTTCTCTAAATCATTTTATTTTCTGCTCCCTTTCCCCCTCCCAGACTGTGACAAGCAGCTGTTTGGTCCCCAAGGTGAAATAGTGAATCCTGTGCAACTGCCTGATCAAAGGCCAGAAGTAGTGTGTCGGACCTTCATCAACGTGGCTCCTGGGCATCGCATAGCTATCCGCGCCCTGTATATTGACCTGGGCAATGAGAGCAACCAAACACATTTTAACTACATCCTGGTGAGTCAGAAACCTAAAGGAGATGGTTTGGATGGGTATGAACCCGTCTCTACATTAGACATTTCCATCCAGATGCAAAGTTGATCCTTGTGTAAATGTAGGTGTGAATGAGCACCACTGAAGTCTTCTGTATTTCTTCTAACCTTTGTATAGGGCAGCTCTTCCGTTGAGTGACAAATTAGTGAGACCCCATTATTTTCTGGGTACTTCACTTGTAGGCTGCTCTGATATAATGGTTCGATCTTTCTTTATGCAGGTCCGTGATGTAAGCACCATGAAGACGATGGTGTTCCGTGGGAAACAGCAATTCCTCTGGCAATCAACAGGAAGCCAAGCTGAAATCGAATTTCATGAAAATGTTAAAGAACACCAAAACAGGTTCTGGGCTGAATATCATGCTATTGAGCCCAAATAAAAGGGGCTGGGGCTGCTGTACTGAGAAAGTCACTGCTGCCTGTTCACTGCTCGAGGTCAGAAGTCATTTAACCTTTTTGCAACTGCTTCCCCATCTACTGAGTAAGAACAATAATATCTACAGATGTGTATGAGGACAAACTGCTGGCACAAGACTGGAGAAATGTGTTTGGGCAAGCCAGTTTCTTTGCCCAGGAGGGTAGTGCAGCACTAGGAGAGGTCACCTGGAAACCTGATGGGATCACCATCCCTGAATGTTTTCAGGAGTTGGCTGGACCAAGGCACAGCTGGCCTGTCCAAGCCCTGGTGACAGTTGGCTTTGTATGGGAGACCTAGATGACATCCAGAGGTCCCTCCCCAGCCACCCCTTCTGTGGTTCTACTATTATGTATGTGACAGTGATACCATTACTTCTTTTCTATGGGAAAATAAAAGAATTCTGTCTCTTAATGATTGGTTTTGTGCCAAGACATATTTGTTCAGATAACAACAGTAGCTGTGCTGCTGATCTGCTTGTATCTTCATCTCACAGGAACTGTGCAGTGAGAGATCGGTGTGAGACTGCATGACACAAGTTGTAGGAGGAAGAGGTATTCTAGAGCAGTGACAAATATTCACTCAAGTTTTATTTAAATACATTTTTAGGTTGTTTTTATTGAATATCTTGAATATTGGACCATGCTTTGGTCCAAATCTGTCATCCTCCTCAAAATCACAATATACTGCTTAAGGGGTCTTTTCTGCACCTGGAGCCTGGCTGGACACATCTGCCCGTGCTCTGCGTGCTGGATGCAACACATGGTTCTGCCTGGGCAGCTTTAACCCCACTTCTGCTTTCTTTCAGTTGAATTCTGACATCTTTTTACAACCACAAAAACATATTTTCTTCTGTCTTCTTAACAGTGTTTTTGTTTTTTTTTTTTTTCTGATTAAGCTTGGGAGTTTTTTGCTTGCCAGCCTCCAGATTTACGTTCCATTCCTGGAAGAGCTAGAAAGTAGATGCTTGAAGCAAGATCCTCGAGGAGCTGAATATGTCGGCTATCCCACTGCAGCGCGTGGGTGATGCAGGCACTAGACCTTCATTTCCTGTCTAACGGGAGATGTTAATGAGAAGACATCTTTTTCTTTAATCCTTTTTTGTAACCTTTTAGCAGATGGGATCTGTCTTCCCACTCTGCTCTGGATCCCAACTCTCGCTGCTGTTTATTGTTCCAGATCAACTACGCAGAGTCCCTGGTCTGCAGAGACGGGCTCTGGTTACTGACCGTATGGTCCGTGTTCATTTGCAAAAAAACGCAGCTGTTGTCTTTACAATTTAAGAAAATTAATGCTGTTTCCCTCTGCCATTTGTTTGGATACCAACAGCTTGCCAACTGGGACATCACTGTCTTGCAAAGTCCTCCTCCCATTTTCTAGGGGAAAAACCTGATTTCAGACAGATTAAGGGGAGTGTTGCCCTTGTATCTCAAGGGCAGAATTTTGTAACATTGTTAAATGTGTTCCTGGAAAAATTCATGTTTCCCTTTCCTCTGAGCACACCAGGCTGCCTGGATAACAGCATCTAGCTGTTAGCCAGGGGAAGCGGGACCCGGATCTCCTGCACACCGCAGACCCTGGTGTGGAGCAGCGCATCCCTGCGCATCCCTGCACGGCCGCTGATGAATATGTACAGGACGGGCTCTGCCCACCAGCCTTTTAATGCGAGTGACATCAAAGCCCTGCCTGCTGGAGGAGGGGACCCACAATGCAATACGCAGGCAGACGTGAAGGCAGCTCCCACGGCCACGGGCATCGCTGCTGCAGGCACAGACCCTCCATTGTCCTGGGGGGGGCCGTGGGGGGCCAGGCCCTGCATTGGGGTGCGGGGAGAGACCCAGCAGCGGCAGGGCTGGGTATAGGGGCTGTCTCCTGGGCTGGCTGGAGTGGGGGGACAGGAGGAGTGTCACCTGGGGGGGTGCATCCTGCGGTGCTGGGGCTCAGGCGGGGAGCGGGGCGCTGGCCCCTGACCCCCCGGGAGCAGGGGGGCGATGAGCTCTCAGGATGAGCCGTTCCAAGCAGCAGCCCCTGAGCCAGCGG